TTTGGTGCAATAAAACACTTTTAGAAGTACTAATGGGGATTAAATATTGAAATAAGGCTCACAAGATTTAATGTTTTATTAAGAAATTCTGCATGCAGGGTACTTTATAAAATTCTCCAATACGATAATTACTCACACCAAGTTTCTAAATATATAGTTTCCTTCAATTACGTCTTCACATAAGCTTAGTTTCATCGAAGAGCATATACAAATTAACTAGAGTTATGTCTAGACATTTTGTCTTTTCATCGCTCAACAATTCTACAGAAAGATATTGTTATTCTTCCTTACAATAAGAACATAGGTGTTACAGAGGCTAATAATAGCTGCCACTCATTGAGCATTTACTATATGATAAGCAACATATACTACTCATACATGATTTCATATAATTATTATTATTGTCCTATGAATTATTTATGAAAACATCACTTAACAGATTAAAAACCTGAGATTTAAAAAGGAGACATATTTTTATCAAAGGCACACACCTGGGTTGGATTCAGGTCTAAGTTTTTTGACACCAGAGCTAGGGAATTTAACCACGGAGTTTTAGAATTTACTTTGAATATTAAAAATATACATCTTTTTTCGATAAGCTATTATCTAGGTTATAGAAAACTCGGGCAATAGGGGAACATAAACTGAAATTCTGCATTACTTCAAAATTAATGACACTTATAAATAACTATGTGGCAATTCCAAAGCCATGACCACTTATGCATTTATTGAAAGTATTTGAAGGGGCGCCTGGGTGGCTTAGTCGGTTAAAGCATCCTACTTTCGCTTTGGTCATGATCTCGCAGTTCGTGGGTTCGGGCCCCGCGTCGGGCTCTGTACTGACTGCCAGCTCAGACCCTGGAGCCTGTTTCAGTCTGTGACTCCCTCTCTCTCTGACCCTCCCCTGCTCACGCTGTTTCTCTCTCTCTCTCCTAGAAATAAATAAAACATGAAAAAAAAAAAAAGTATTTGAAAAAACTGATCATTTACTATATGCAACCAGAAGGACGGTATAACTATTAGAATTAAACTTTAGGGGCGCCTGGGTGGCTCAGTTGGTTAAGCGTCCACCTGGGCTCAGGTCATGATCTCACAGTTCATGGGTTCGAGCCGCACGTTGGGCTCTGTGCTGACTGCCAGCTCAGAGCCTGGAGCCTGTTTCAGATTCTGTGTCTCCCTCTCTCTCTATCCCTGCCCTCCTCTGTCTGTCTCTCTCAGAAATAAATTTTTAAAAAAATTTTTAAAAAGAATTAAAATTTAGCAAAGTCAATGGACTTATTTAAGGTCAATATAAAAATTGATGGTATTTCCATATGTTTGCATGTATAGGAGGATTAGGAGGAACTTAACGGAGGACCATGGGGGAGAATAAGGGGGGAAATAGTGGGGGAGAGAGAGGCAAACCATGAGAGACTCTTGAATACTGATAACAAACTGAGGACTGATGGGTGTTGGGGGGAGGGGGGAGATGGGCATGGAGGAGGGCACTTGCAGGGATGAGCACTGGATGTTATATGGAAACCAACCTGACAATAAACTATTTGTAAAAAAAAAAAAATTGATGGTATTTTTATAGAATTAAAAACAAAAACCAGAAAAAAAGTTCAAAAACAATAGTAAGCATAACTGATGAGAAAAAAACAAGAAATAATAGACCTAAGTCTTATAAATGAGCGAAACTTCTGGACCGAAAACTAACAACAATAGGGTGCCTGGGTAGCTCAGTTGGTTAAGCATCTAACTCAACTCTTGATCTCAGCTCAGGTCATGATCTCATGATCCATGAGGTCAGGCTTAGCACTGGTGGTGCAAAGCCTGCGTGGGATTGATTCTCTCTCTCTCTCTGTCTCTCAACATAAAAAAAATAAATTTAGAAAAACTAAAGACATTTTTAAGAGAAATTAAGAAATACATTTTGTTCATGGATTGGAAGATCTGATATCATACAGATACCCATTTTCCCAAAATTGAGTTTATGATTTAAATCTCAGAATCTTTGTGAAAATTGTAAAACTGCATCTAAAATTCATATAAATAGCCAAGACAATATTGAAAGAAAAAAACATAAAATTAAATACTTTCAGATTTTAAGACTTTTACAAAACTACAATTATAAAAACTAAATGTTGTGAATCAAATATGGGCAAACAAATCATTGGAACAAATAGAGAGCTCGGGAGCAAACCATCTTCACATATGCAGGTACATGATTTGTGACAGTTACCACTCATTGCAGGGGAGTGAAGACATGATCTGTTTAATAAAAATGATTCTGGATCAGTTAGATATTCAAGTGAGAAATACAAAATGAATCCTGACCCCCTACCTCATAAAATACCCAAAATAAAGTCAGACAGAAAACAGACCTAAATTTGAGATGTAAAATAATAACATTTCCAGATAAAATGTAAAAGTAATATCTCCACGATATCAGGGTGTACAAAGATTTCCTCAACTGGACATACAAATATTAAGTATAAAAGAAAAATTAGTAAATTGGACATCATTAAAATTAAGAGCTTCTGTTGATCAAAGAATGCCATTAAGTTTTCAGCAACTACAATGTGCCAGATTCTAGAAAAACAATGCTTTTCATAAATAGCTTTATTTGATCCTCACAATGGAACTGTAATGTCATCATCATTGTTTCAAATTTAGAGTAACTAAAAGAATACAAAATCACTAACTCAAAAAGTTACATGCACCCCTATGTTTATAGCAGCATTATTTACAATAGCCAATATTTGAAAGCAGCCCAAGTGTCCATTGGTCCATTGGTTAATGAAAGGATAAGAAGATTTAATATGTAATACACACACACACACATACACAGGAATATTATTCAGATATAAAAAAAGAATGAAATCTTGCCATTTGCAATAACAAGGATGGAACTAGAGAGTAGAATGTGAAGCAAAATTAAGTCAGAAAAGACACATATACAATTTCACTCTTATGTGAAATTTAAGAAACAAAATAAGCTAAGGTAAAAAAAAAAGAGAGAGAGAGAAAGAGAGAGAGAGGAGACAGAGACAAATCAAGAAACAGACTCTGAATTATAGAGAACAAACTGATGGTTACCAGGGGGGAGATGGGTTAAATAGGTGATGGGGATTAAGGAGGGCACTTGTCGTAATGAGCATTGGGTATTGAATCACTATATTCTACACCTGAAAGTAATATTACACTGAATGTTAACTGGAATTTAAATAAAAACTTAAAAAGTACGTAAATTAAATAAATTTGGGGTAACTACAGTTTAGAGTCATTTAAAAATTGTTCCAGATCACATAGCTAGTAGGTGGGCAGTTGGGACTTGAACTCAAGCTGACAACAGAGTGTAAAGTCTTAAGGAACTATGCTATCAGTTGCTCAAATGCCTATGTAAGTGTGTGTGTGGGGGGGGGGGGGTGTGGTGTGTGTGCGTGCGCGCGCGCATGTGTGCACAATAGAGATCTAGAAATGAAGATATAGAAATATAGGCATGTATAGTGATTTCTAGCAAATAACGGCTAATAATATTGAACTATTAGGAATAATCTAAATGCTCATTATTAGGAGCATGTTTTAAAAGTTTTTGTTATGGCCATGCAATTGGGCACAATGCAGTCATTTTAAATGAGAAGGAATATTAACATGGAATGTTGTCCATAACATTTGGAGAGGAAGTGTTTCTTTTTAGAGGCCTTGGAGAAAGCATATGTATTATAATTTCATTTTTAGAGAATTATTTTTATAACCATATATCCAGCTCTATGTACTAAAGTTCTGGAAGGATATAAAAAAGTTAACTGTATCTATGAAGGTAGAAAACTGTAAAATATTTTCTATTTCATGGAGTTCTATATTATTTGAATTTTCTTATAATTAGTATTCATTATTTAATAATATAAAGTAATTGTTCCATTTTTAAAGTGAAGGTAATTTACAAACCATTGTGCTAATTATTTCAAGTTAATTCTAAATTCAATTTCTGAGTATTTATTTTTCAGGATGTAGTATATAATCCTTTAAACCTCTATGGCCTGTTTTTAGGATGGGAAGATATGAACATCACAAATCCAGCTTATTATTGTTGAATATTAAATTTCAATTTCTACTTAATATTCTAAAACCTACTTTAAAATCCAAACCAAAAAAAGAAAAGACTGAGAAAATATAGTTTATCACATATTGTTCCTATGTAAATATTGATCAGGGGCACCAGGGTGGCTCAGTCAGTTAAGCTTATGATTCTTGATTCTGGCTCAGGTCCATGAACTCAGTTTCATGAGATCAAGCCCCACGTCAGGCTCTGTGCTGACAGTGCAAAGCCTGCTTGGGATTCTCTCTTTCCCTGTTTCTCTGTCCTTCCCCTTCTCATGCTCTCATGTGCTCTCTCTCTCTCTCTCGCTCTCTCTCAAATAAACATTTAAAAGAAAAAAGAAATAAGTAAAACTTGATCATAATAGATACATTTTATTTTTAAACTTCCCCAGTATAGTGGTTGAAAAGTGACCTCCAAAAGGCATGTCCCCCTGGAATCTGTGACTGTGACTATATTTGGACATAGGGTCTTTGCATATGTAATTAGGGATCTGGAGAGGAAAGTATATAGGATCATGGTGGGCCCTACATCCAACCACACGTTCTCTTAGAAGAGAAGGGAACAGAACACAGAGGAGAGGGTCATGTAAACATGGCGGCCAAGGGGGCTATGCAGCCACAAGCCAAGGACGCTGTGGACTACTGAAAGCCAACAGAAAGAGAGGCATAGAACCAATCAGAACCTCCCGAAAAATCCAACCCTGCAAACCCTCGATTTCAGACCTGTGGGCTCCAGAACTGTAAAAAGAGAATAAATGTCTACTTTATTAAGCTCCCAACCGGTTGCTGCTAATTTGTTGCAGCAGCGCTAGGAAACAAATACACCTAGATATTTAAAACAATTATTTTTGACACTTTCTTAAGGAATACTATAATTAGACAAAATAAGTAATTTTCTGAAGTCAGAATCTTACCATTTAAACTCTGTCCTATTTGCGTAGTACCAGAGGCAAAATCTGTAATTGAACCACTTAGAGTTATTGCAGCAAATGCTGTATTATCTTCCTCCAAACCATTGATGAAGAAACTGATTTTTCTCTGATGCACCTGCAAGAAATTATCACATTATTTTAATTACATAACCTTGTATTTTATCATAACTACATTTCAGCAGTGTTTCACAAGTTAATTTCCTACTTCACTACTTTCTTCAGTTGGAATGACTGAAAACAATTTATCTTAATGGCTCAGTGATATATTTGTATGTCTATATATCTAGATATGAACCTACATATTATAGTTTTATGCTGTGATTTCTACTAGGGTATTTACAGGTATACACAATTTTTTGTCTCATATGTTTGGCAGCACTGTTAGGTCTTCATAATTTTTTGAGAATATAGTGTTTCTTTATATACTAGTTAAATTTGTTATAACCATAATTGGAAAATATAGAAATAAATGCAAAAAGTACAAATATTCAAAACTAAGTATGCCAAAAATGTATAGCCTATGGATATAATTCAATTTAAGTTGCTAATAAAAAATGCTTCCTGTAAACATTTCCTTTATAGTATTGGCGTCATAGTTGATGATTTTCAGTTGTTATTTCCCCAATACAGAAGAGAAAAATCTGACAATGATATTCTAGACTAATTAATCAGGGATTATCAACTCTCTACATCAGGGATCAACACTTTTTCTGTCAACAGTCAGAGGATAAATATTGTCTTTTTTCAAACCAAGTGATTTGATTTTGTGATATAAATGATCCAGGTCACAGCTACTCAACTCTGCTCTTGTAATAGGAAAGCAGCCAGAGACAATACATATGTGAGTTAAACATCTGACCAACCAGATTTGTTCTATGAGTTGTGGTTGGATGACCCCTGAATCATACCCTAACTGTAAAATTATGAAGTCATGAAATTTTGCTTATGTGTCATGACCCCTGAATAGCCAACTCAAACTGTTCTGCAGACAACTTCCTAGATGGTATTAATACAAAATCTTCAATGATTACACATATTTCTGAACAAACTGATCAGCTATTTGACATCAACTTTAGCCTCTGCAAACAGTTTTGTTCAAGTGCATTTAACTTGAATGTAAAAGGAATCATTGGTGCTCTAGCAAGGAGCTGAAATGGCAAAACATGAGGATGGGGTAGAAATAGGAGGAGAAAGAGGAATATGTCATCCTGTAGGTGAAAGGTTAGATGCTAACATTTTAATTAAAAATATATCCAATCATAGCATTCAAATACTATTGTATTAAAACTTTCTCATAATAACTGATGAAAATAAATAACCATTCCCTAACATCTTTAGAATATTATGTGAGTGACTGTCTTAAGAACTCTTTTTAACAGCCCTCTCTCTCCAAACAAACCAACCAACCAACTAATCCTGACAGTTAACAACATAATTACTTAGGAATAGTAATTTTTCAAAAAGCTATTCAATATGGATTTTCTCCATACTATCGAATCTGCTTTTATTAAAATCAGGTAGTTCCTTAACTGCACTGACCCTGTGTTACATTTTACTTATTTATAAAACATAGCCTTGACATAAAGAACTAAAAACGCATGCCAACTCCTTGTGGGCCTGCATATATACCTCTGTGCTGGGTAGTAGGGCTGCATTTTTTTTTTTGCAGCCCATTTTTTACAGCCTGTTACTGTCATTTGGTGTTTGACTGTTATCATTATAAAAGATACAGGCTTTTCTACTTTGTTATTTGTAGCATTATCTCATGTTTTACAACATCTTCGCGCAACATGCAGGCACATGAAATATAACTAGTGAAAAGTTCTCGATGGTATTAATGCATAAAAAAGAATGTGGTTCCATCTCTACTGTCTTTACCCAGCCAAAAGCTGATGAACAGCCAATTTTCCTTTATCACATTAGCACAGCCATGAGGGAAACACATTTGTTCTACTCAGCTACACTAAAGATACTATTACCAATCTAACATATACATGTTTTATATCAGCAGTATTCTCAGAGCATGAGAGAGCCAACAATATATTAACACTAGCATGACAGTTTATTTAAGAAAAGAAAATTGTCTCTGTAGAGGGACAGAAGTTAGAAATGTATGGCTAAATCTCAGTGTCACTGGTCTAATAAAGGTAATAATTCTTAGGCTTTCTTTATAGCAGGTAACACTCCTGTGACAGTTCTGTCATATCATTCAAATAAAAATGTTGTCTTTTACAAGTTTAAGTGCACCTTTATTTTGAGTCAGATAGAAAGCATGTTTTTGATTTTCTATATTCACTGTATTATATCTGTAGTCAAGAGTTCAGGACCTTTTTTTTTTTTTTTTATCAACTAATCGCATATTTGCTTAGGAGAAGGATTCAGTGTCACTTGCAGTGAATTCTGGAAGGATGTTTTCACTTTGGTGGTACTTTCAAAATGATTAATGATGATCTCAAGCCACTCTCTTCTGTTGTCCCCTCCCATATCAACCACCTTTCTATAAATAAGATTACATCTTCTTCGGTGTTCTGTACCATGTTTTATATTCCAAGATTCTCTTAACTACTTTGCAATTCTGGTCTGGGGGCCCATCACACCAGAACTGTGAAGATGAGGGTAGTGCTTTGCAATATCTCATTCTGATGATCCCCTTGCCAGTTATTTAGAGGAATAGGAATACATGTGGTGGAATTTCTAATTTGTGAAAAAGAAAGCCTTCTGCTGAAGTAGACTTCACACCTATCTCAATTTCCACCCCTTGAGGCTTGGAGGAGTTTGTACATGTTTATTGGTGAGGCTTGAAGGAATGAATTGGCAAAGCCAGTAGCAGATGTAGAAAGGCCTTAAATCCCCTCAATAAGAGATTTAAAAAACACACTGGAAAAAAGATAGAGGGGAGCAGGTCATTCTCAATCCTTCATTTTCTTAGGGTTTCATATTTTATTTTAATTAATTTTTAGGCCAAATTCATGTCCCTGTGGTCATCTGTACTCATTCCTTTGAGCATAAAAGTGTATTCGATTTTTTTTTTTTAAGTAGAATACCTGACCATTCTTTTGTCTGATCAGAGAGGTGTAGAATTCCAGAAAGTCACACAATAGTGGAGAGGCTATCAAGAAAAAAATGCAATCAAGTACAACTGGACAGGTGTATCCTAATTGTCAATCATCTGATTCACTGGAATGCCAAATTTTTGTTGCTTTTCTACTTCTGCTGGCTACCAAAAATCCAAAGAAACTCTTATTCAGGCTGGGAAATAGAACACCTGTGCTAACTTCCTCAGCAGAGAAATAGTTTCCTTGTTGCCTCTATCTTTCTAATTTCAGTTTAATTCAATAAAGCATGAACCCAGCACTCAAACGGCCCCTATACATTGTACCAAGAAAATAAAGCCATGATCCTTTCTCACAAGGAGTTTGTATATATGAATAATTTTACAACACTAGGTAGTAGTGTTTGCATCACTATAAGCGATGATGGTTGCTTTTAAGTACTGACACATGCAGTTAATAAAGTGTTATCCTTTTCAAAGAGTTATTTTGAAAAGTTTGGCCTTAATCCATTCATGTATTGTGTATAATATGATTCTGGACATTTTCTATGGGACTTGTCTTTTCAGGACCAACTTACAAGCTTCCTAGAAATACCACTTTCATTCATTCAAAGGGTTTCATTTTGAAGCAACATTTTTTTATTTTATTTATTTTTCTGAGAGAGAGCTGGTGAGTATGAGTGCGTGTACACATACAAGGCAGATGGAGAGGGAGAGAATCTTAAGCAGGCTCCACACCCAGCACAAAATTCAATGCAGGACTCAAACTCATGAACCGTGAGATCATGACCAAAGCTGAAATCAAGAGTCAGATGCGTAACCAGCTGACACACCAGGGGGTCTGTAAAGCAAAACTATTTTAAGAATTTTGAATGGGGGCACCTGGGTGGCTCAGTAGGTTAAGCATCCGACTTCGACTCAGGTCATGATCTCATGGTCCAGAAGTTTGAGCCCCGTGTCAGGTTCTAGGCTGACAGCCCAGAGTCTGGAGCCTACTTTGGATTCTGTGTCTCCCCATCTCTTTGCCCCTCCCCCATGCATACTCTCTTTCTCAAACATTCAAAAATTAAAAAGAATTTTGAATAATACTTTTATAGATAAGATAAAGTGATCTGGCAACATATCTTGAATTCAAATAATTCAATAATTTTTTGAATCTTCAAAAAATAATGATGGATGATAGAAATATAAAGATCATCATTTTGAACACTAAGAAATTCAAACAAAAAAAATACTGTGATATGAATCTGAAGGGAAAACGTTGTGGAGGAAATATGTCTTGGACTTTCTGAAATAGAAATTCCTGAAATAGAATTTCTATTTCTAGGTTAACCAAAGCTCTGCAAAAAGGATTCTACTATTCCATCTATAATTTTTTAAGCATAAGGAAGGCAATTTATTCTAAAAACTCCGTAAGTTATTTTTAAATATCACATGTATGGGGGTGCCTGGGTGGCTCAGTCAGTTAAGCGACCAACTCTTGACTTCAGCTCAGGTCATAATCTCATGGTTTGTGAGACTGAGCCCCACATCAGGCTCTGCACTGATACTGTGGAGCCTGCTTGGGATTCTTGCTCCTGCTCTACCCCTCCCCTACTTGCTCACAAGTGCATGTGTGCACACATGCTCATGTTCTCTCTCTCTCTCTCTCTCTCTCTCTCTCTCTCTCTCTCTCTCAAAACAAATACTTAAAAATAAATAAAATTGGGGCACCTGGGTGGCTCAGTCATTTAAGCATCTGACTTTGGCTCAGGTCACAATCTCACAATTCGTGGGTTTGAGCACAGCATTGGGCTCTGTGCTGACAGCTCAGAGCCTGGAGTCTGTTTCAGATTCTGTGTCTCCCTCTCACTCTGGCCTTCCCTACTCATGCTCTGTCTCTTTCAAAAATAAACACTAAAAAAATAAAATAAAAAATATCACATCTATGTTTTATCCCCCTACCTAAGCCTGTGCGGGATGTCCCTCTTATTGCTTACTATCTGAAACCAAAGGTCTTCTGAGGTTTTTCCTTACTCATCCCACCCCAATTTTATTTCTAACTAATCATCGACAGCCAACCT